GCACCCCGTGTTGGGGCCCCTGCTGTACAAGAACTGCGTAGCCTTTTTGGACGACGTCTTAATCTATTCGGACAATGAGAAGCAACATGTCAGAGACGTCAGGGAAGTGCTGAAGAGACTGCAGAAGCACCAGTTGTGGGTCAAGCTGGAAAAATGCCAATTTCACGCCAGAGAGGTCGAGTTTCTGAGGTACAAGTTGTCAGACAAGGGTCTAGCTATGGACCCAAGCAAGGTGTAGGCAGTGCTGGAATGGAAGGCCCACAAAACCCAGAAGGATGTGCAGAGGTTCCTAGGGTTCAGCAACTTCTACAGGAAGTTCATCAAGAACTTCGCCCACTTGACAGCGCCCATCACAGATTGTCTCAGTAGCAAAAAGAAGTTCGCCTGGACAGAAAGTGCCCAGCAATCCTTTGAAAGACTGAAGAAGGCGTTCGCTCGGAAGAGCAGCTCCTGCATGTTGATCTGGAGAAGCCCATGAGGCTGGAGACCGACGCGTCCGACCGAGCCATTGGGGCGGTACTTTTGCAGCCAGGGGCCAAGAAGGGCTGGAGGCCGTGTGCCTTTTTCTCGAGGAAGCTGAGCAAGTCGGAGCAAAACTATACGGTGTATGACCGCGAACTGCTTGCGATCTATGTGGCGTTTCGTCGATGGAGACATCTGTTAATAGGGGCGCAGCACAAGATCCAGGTTTGTACTGATCACAAGAACTTGGAATACTGGAGGACCGCGCGAGTACTCAACCAGAGACAGATTCAATGGGCACAGGAGTTCTCCAAGTTTTCCTTCGAGATCCGATACGTGCCGGGAGAGGAAAACGTAAGAGCAGATGCTCTCTCCCGGAAGCCGGAGGACATGGAAGGAAAAGGACTGCCGGAGATCTGACACGTGATCCCCGAGGACCGATGGGTGTGTGGGGGAGCGTTGGTTGGGAAACGAGAACTGGCCGGGCTTACTAGAAACGACGTGTTCGCTCAAACTAAAATCAGGGAACTCCGAGACGGAAGGGAAAACCATGGAGGGTTTGAGGAAAAGGAAGGGCTGCTGTACTATAAGGGGGGCGCTGTATGTACCGGGGGAGACCTTGAGGGGGAAAGTACTCAAACAACTCCACGACAACCCAACAGCTGGGCACTTTGGACAGCACAAAACCATGCTGCTCGTCACCAGGCAGTTCTGGTGGCCAAGGGTGAGGGAAGATGTACGGGAATATGTACGGGGGTGCAACCGCTGCCAAAGGGGGAGAGGGCTGCCCCCGCAGGGTTACTGGAACCCTTACCCACGCCGGGAAGACCCTGGGAGGTGGTGTCCATTGATTTTATGACAGATTTGCCCAAGTCAAGGGGAAAGACAGCAGTCATGGTAGTAGTCGATCTACTGACGAAGATGTGCCATTTCATAGCTTGCTCACATGCCGTGACGGCAGAGGAGACAGCCAGGTTGTTTGTGGATCACATCTTCAGGTTGCATGGGGCTCCCTCGAGGGTCATCGCAGATCGCGGGAAACAATTTACTTCCCGGTTCTGGAGGAAGCTCATGAGCTTGCTGCAGGTCGAGGTGGGCTTTTCGACGGCACGACACCCGGAAACCAACGGGCAAGCAGAAAGAGCGAACAGTATACTCCAGCAATACCTACGCTGCTACGTCAGCGAGAGACAGAACGATTGGATAGAGAAACTAGCGCTGGCTGAATTTGCGTACAATAACGCTGAACATGTGTCCATGGGAATGAGCCCGTTCATGGCCAGTTATGGGTGTCACCCCAGGGCCTTCCCGGGGAGGGGGGAGGAAGGATGGAGTGTACCTGCAACAGAGCAGTTTGTGGAAGAAATGGAGGCATTGCACCAGCAACTCAAGATGAACTTGGAGCGGGCCAAGGAAGTTTACAAGAGGCAGGCAGACAAGCACCATCGGGAGGGGGAGGCCATACGCTTGGGAGACCGAGTGTGGTTGTCAACCCAAGGGTTACCCCTAAAGGGAGGGTGCAAGAAGTTGCAGCCAAGGCGGCTGGGACCTTTTGAGGTAACACAGCAGGTGAACCCTGTGGCATTCAAGCTCATGTTGCCTGACAGCATGAAGATACATCCGGTGTTCCATAGGTCCCTACTCTCACCGTACAGGGAGGGGCGGGAATTTCCAGGGCGGGAGGGAGGAGTCACCACCCACCCACGGGTAGAGGAGAGGGAACACCACAACCAAGCCACGGAAATACTCGATTCAAGGTGGCGAGGGCGCCAGGTGGAGTACTTGGTAGCTTGGGAAGGAGAACCCGGGTCAGAAAACACGTGGGTCCCCGCTGAGGCGATCAATGACAGGTATCTAGTGGAAGAATTCCACAGCCTGTTCCCAGATAAACCAAAACCAGTAGCGAGATTCTGGGATGAAGAATTTGGAACCACAGACGACGAAGTGGAATTTGTGGGTTTTCCTGCCGCCGAAGAGGAGGGAGGGGAGGTGTCAGAGGGAGAAGAATCAGACTGGGAGGCCCACCCCACAGCAAGAGTTCGGAGCGGGTGTGTGCTGGTCCAGGGGGGAGGTTACCGTGGGGCGAGGTCCAGGACCTGAGTTGAGGGTCGCCAGACAGTCCTCCTCGGGCAAAGCAGGGTCCACAGCGAGAAGCCGGGCAAGGACAGGAACTCTGGGGAAACAGGACTGGATGCTGGCCGAAACAGCTCATCAACGACGTTGCTCCCGCAACCTGGGACCGGGCTGACTGGCCTTTATCTTCTCTGAGGCCAGGGGCGGTCCTGGCCCCAGGAGACCCACCTCTCCTGGCCTTAAGATGAGCACTCCTCCTGGGAGAAACCAGTTCCCTTCGCCTCTCTGCCCTGAGCCTCTGCAGTTCAAGAGAGGCTGAAGGGTTACTGGGCCCAGGGGGAGACTCACCTGTAGGCACTGAGTCCTCAACCACCTCCGGAGCCAGAGTGGATTCACCTGGTGCCTGCTCCTGAGGATCCGGCACAGGTGCAGGCGCTTCAGAATCAAGACCCTGCCCAGTTCAGCCGGCCCTGGAGGCGGGGACTCCTGTGCAGGCTGGGATTCCTCCGGTTCAGCCTCTGAATCGGATTCCCAGGCCATCACACAATCCCCCCTCCCAGCCCCCCCCCATTCGAGGGTCTGGACCCGGCTTGCTGGGGTACGCTGCATGGAAATCTTGGAGGCAGGCAGGCGCGTGGACGTTGGCTGCTGGTTCCCAGGAACAGTCCTCCAGTCCGTACCCCTTCGAGTCTATGAGATACTGCAGCTTTCCCTTGCGGTATGGGGAGTCCAGAATGCGTTCCACCTCGTACTCAGGCTCCCCCTGAACCAAAACTGGCTGCGGTCGGGGACGGTTCGGGTGGAACTCGTCGGGTGGGGCCACCGGACTCAGAAGGGACCTGTGGAACACCGGGTGAACCTTCAGGGTTGCAGGCAACTGGAGACGGAATGCCACAGGCGAGACCTGGTCCACGATAGGAAACAGGCCAGTGAAACGGGCGTCCAGCTTCCGCGAAGGTCGAGAGGGGTGGAGGTGGCGAGTGGAGAGCCATACCAGGTCACCGACGTGGAGTTCCGGCCCCACCTGGCGGTGGCGGTCGGCCTGGGCCTTGTATGCCTCCTTGGCCTGGCGCAGTTGCTCCATCAATAGCTGTTGCTGGGACTGGAGCTCCTGAAGCCACTCCGTCACCGCAGGGACCGCGGATGCCGGCAGCACATCCGGAAACAGCCGTGGATGATAACCGTAACTGGCCTGGAACGGGGTCTGCTGGGTGGACGCATTCACCGCGTTGTTGTAGGCGAACTCTGCCAATGCTAGGTGGTCGACCCAGTCATCCTGCTGGTAGCTGCAGTAACACCGAAGGTACTGCTCCAGCACCGCGTTTGCCCGTTCCGTCTGGCCATCGGTCTGTGGGTGGTAGGCTGATGAGAGACAGACCTCTGTCCCGAGGGTCTGGTGCAATGCTCGCCAGAACCGGGATGTGAACTGAACGCCCCGGTCGGACACCACACGCTCAGGTAGGCCATGCAGGCGGAAGACATGCTGAAGGTACAGCTGAGCGGTTTCCTTAGCTGTGGGTACGGATGGGCAGGGGGCACAGTGCACCATCTTAGTGAAATGGTCGGAGAAAACTAGAAGGCAGGTACAGCCACGAGATGGGGGTAAGTCCACTACAAAGTCCAGCGAAACCGTGTGCCAAGGACGTGGTGGGACTGGCAACGGCTGAAGTAGGCCGGGGGGTCACCCGGTAGGGCCCTTGGCCCGCCGGCAGATGTCACAACCAGCGACGTAGCAGGCCACGTCAGCCTTCAGGTGGGGCCACCAAAACTCACGGCTTACCAGATGGGTGGTCCGATACCGCCCAAAGTGTCCCGCTGCTGGGGCATCATGGGTCATCCGGAGAACCTCAGCCCGCAGTGGCCCTGGCGGGATATACAGGCGACCGTGGTGCAGCAGAAGGCCCTGTTGCAAGACCAGCCCCGGATACTGAGGGCATGACCCTTCGGCCAGTTCCCGGAGTCGTTCCTGGGCCCAAGCGTCTACCTGCTGCTGTTCCCGCACCCAAGCCAGCAGTGGCTCAGCCTCCTGGGTGGCCAGGAATGCAGCCTGTGGTAGGATCGTGGTGGGTACTGCTTGCTGTACCGTGTCTGCATTGTCTTCAGGTTTCCGGGACAGGGCATCCGCCTTCTGGTTTTGGGAGCTAGGGATGTAGCGGATCCGGAACTGGAACCGGGAAAGAACAACGCCCACCGGATCTGCCTTTGGTTCAGCTTGCGGGTGGTCTGGAGGTACTCCAGGTTCCGGTGGTCGGTTCTCACCTCCACCGGGTGTCGTGCCCCCTCAAGATGGTGGCGCCAGACTTCAAAGGCCACCTTGATGGCCAGTAGTTCCCGCTCCCACACGGTATAGTTACGCTCCGCTGGAAGGAGCTGGCGGGAATAGAAGGCGCAGGGTAAGAGTGGCGCATCGGGTCCATACTGCTGAGACAAGACGGCACCGAGAGCCATGCTGGAAGCGTCAGTCTCTACCACAAAGGGTCGAGAGGGATCAGGATGTTGCAAGATTGGCGCTCTCTGGAAACAGGCTTTCAACCCCTGAAACGCCTCCTCTGCCTCCTCGTCCCAGGAAAACGGCGTCTTGGGGCGCAGTAGCCGGGTCAACGGGGTGGTGCGATGAGCATAATCTGCAATGAAGGTCCGGTAATAGTTGGCGAACCCCAGGAATCGCTGTAGGTCTTTGCGGTTCCGAGGTGCCGCCCATTCCCGAACCGCTGCCACCTTCCCAGGATCCATCTGCACCCCATCTGGAGAGAGTCGGTGACCAAGGAAGTCCACTGACCGCTGATGGAACTCACACTTGCTGAGCTTCGCATACAGGCGGTGCTCCCGCAAGTGCTGCAGCACGGTCCGGACATGACCCTCGTGGAGAGCCGGGTCACGGGAGAAAACCAGAATGTCATCCAAGTACACCACCATGTACTTGTCTAGCAAGTCCTGGAACACGTGGTTGATGTACCGTTGGAACACAGCGGGGGTGCAGGAAAAACTCCCCCTCAGACAAGTCATAGCTGTCTAGAACATCATTCCCTCGGTCTGACCTTTTGCGGTCTCAGCAGTCTGCGGTGTCCTGTCTGTAACCTTTTGTCCCTGAGACCTTTTGTCTCCTTCGTCATACACTGTGCAAGGGGAAAATGACGCTGTGGAAACAGGTGCCAAAATAACTTTGTGCCACCCCACGATCTCGGGACGGAAGATGTGTAAAGGTCACAGCCCAAAAATGTATCTGCCTGGCTTGCATATTTGTCTCAATAAAAGGAGGCTCCACAGGAATGGCAGTAGCTCGCTTGAGACCACCTGTGCGCAGCTCACATGATGATCAACTCCTGTCTTGGGCCTTCACTTCAAGGATCTCTAGCCAGTTGTTTGAAATGTAGACTTCTATCCTAGTCTGAAGATGATGCCGATTGACATTATTATGCACGGTGCTTTACAGAGTGGTAAGGACTCAGGTCCCCACTGAAAAGAGGGAAAATAGAAACAGGACAAAGAATCCTATCCACCCAGCGGTGGAAGACATGTGAAACAGGGTGCTGGCAAATTGCTTACAGCTTTGGTCATCTCACAGTCTTCTTGCAATCACTATAACTCTGAAAATTTGTAACAAAACTGTGAGATTTAGGATAAAATGATATGCAGTGCTAAATGAGTCGCTGGATTTTTATGGTAATTTAATTTTACTTCAACTGTATTTGATTTTGCTGTATCCTTATTTTGCTTTAAATAGCAACTGCCACAGTTTCTACAAACACACACACACACACACCTCCCCCCAAAAAACCCTGCTTTTATTATCCTCTGGAAGGTTCTCATTGAAGCTTCTGTTAGTAACCCTGAAAGAGGACATGTTTCTTCACATAACACAGGGTGTTGCAATGCAGCCAATAGAAAAGAGAATTGGTTATTATCATCAAAGGTGGTAGGTCTTTCTGTTTGTCACTAGTATGCAGGAAAGCTGAAGGGGCAGCCCAGTGATGGTATGCCACTGTTTATAAGATGCTGAATGTTAACTTTCACACAGTAGTTTATTGTGGAATTGGTAATGTTCACACATACAGCTTTATCACGGCATCTGCATGAAGCCACCCAGTTTCTGCATTGTTTTTCTTCTTACTGGATTTTCTGTGGAAATGGTAAATCCATATGAAATGGTAAAGGGGTATAGGATGGCACTTCAGTGTGGACTGTGTTGTGTGGATGCTACACTATGAACTTCCATGCATGCATCACCATGTCCACAATAAAGTGCTTGCATCCCTTGGGCCAGCTCTGGGCATGTTGCTCAGCAAGTTTAGACCATCTCTCGTGCTAGCTTGTCTCTGGGAGGCATTTCTGCATGAGAATGAAACGCCGTGGGGCAAGGTGAATATAAAATGGAAGAATGGTAAAAAGCGGTGTGGGATATATCTATTAATGATAAATTAACAAGTGCTATTAAGGTAAGACAGGGAATATGCAGGAGAAATGATTTTGAGGAGATATGGAAGTTATTTGTTTATTATAAAAGGTATTATAAAAACAATTTTTAAAAAGGAAATTAAATGTCCTTTCATGCAGCCAAATATTATGTAATTCATCATTAAATAAATAAATAAAGTGGTATATCTGTCCAAGGCACAGCAAGACAATATCATCTAGGCAGCGACGTTGACATTTTCCCCCATCACAAAACTCAACTTGGACCGTTGCCATGGGTCCTAATTTAAGAAAGTGCCTCTGATGCCGCTTCCAGTAACAACGTGTCTAGTTCTGGTGCGTGTCAGGCAGATGCTTGCCACCATGCAGGTCTGGCCGATGGGCCTTTGTTGACAGGAATCCAATGCTCTTCCTCCCCCCCCCCCAAAAAAAAGCACAGCTCAGACAAAGCTCTTTTCTTGGCAGAAATAAACACCATCCTGTGCAGGACACACAGTCTGGAAAGGGAAGTCAAGACAACATCCCCAAGAAGCTTCAGAAAAGTGCCATCTCCACTGTGGCACAGCCAGCAAAGGGCATCTTGGCCAAAAACCAGACAGGACTGAGGTCCCAAATCAGCTACTGCACCTAAACCTTCAAGTAGACTGGGGGCTGGAATTATAGGAAGAAAGCCATGGTCACTTCCAGACAATCTGTTCATTTTGCATCCTCAGTCTCCATCAGCCAATGTTGGATGTTGCTGGATTAAATTACATCCCTGCCTCTGTGCTATACATCTGAAGCACTCTTGCAGCACTTTGAAAACAGTGATGGCTTTTCTCCAATAATTACTAAGGGTCTTCTCAGCAGTGGCGCCCTCTTTGTGGAACACCCTCCAGTCAGATGTCAAGGAGATAAAGAACTACACAACTTAGGTTATGGAAAACTGATATAAACTTTACAGCTTGATATCTGATTAAGGAGAATATAATGAAGATGCTTTATTGTTGGTACCTCACACCAGGAAATTTATCAAAGATGTACAAAAAAACACTCAAATCTCTGTTGGAGATGTAAAACAGAGGTGGGGACAATGTATCATATGTGGTGGGGGTGTAAGGTTTTTAAACAGTTCTGGATTGTGGTACATGAAGAGCTCAAAAAGATATTTAGGAGTTCAGTTTCTAAAAAGCCAGAAGCATTTCTGCTGGGCTTAATATCTAGTGACATCCCCAAGGATAAAAGGAATGTATTCCTTTACGCAACAGCAGCAGCCAGAATATTAGTGGCAAAAAATTGGAAAACGGACAAAATACCAGAACTACTAGAATGGCAAGCTAAAATTTGTGAATTTGTGGAGATGGTAAAGTTAACAGCATCAATTAGAGGCTGTCCCAACCAAAAAAATTACAAAGAGTGGGAATGCGTAAAGGTTTACATGAAAAGAGTTGGTTTTGGAGCTTAAAAATGCAATAGCTTAAAGGGTGCAAGGATATAGGATACTATTATAACAAATATGGAACAACAAATATAAACAGCTGTTAACGCAAAAAAACACACAACAACAGTAAGTAAAGAAGATCGCACATGGGTGAAGGGAAGCAACAGGTTTAGGGGGTTTAATTGGAAAATTGTTGAAGATATATATGGGATCTAAGAGATTAAGAATAAGGAACCAAAAGAAGGAGACAAATGTTAAGGGATATGAAAATAAGGGAACCTGAGAAGAACCAGTATACAGTGGTACCTCGGGTTAAGTACTTAATTCGTTCCGGAGGTCTGTTCCTAACCTGAAACTGTTCTTAACCTGAAGCACCACTTTAGCTAATGGGGCCTCCTACTGCCGCCGCTGCTGCGAGATTTCTGTTCTCATCCTGAAGCAAAGTTCTTAGCCTGAGGTACTATTTCTGGGTTAGTGGAGTCTGTAACCTGAAGCGTATGTAACCCGAGGTACCACTGTAAATGAAAACATGAGACTCAAGGTTTTGTTATATACTGTTTTACTTTGGATGTGAAGTCTTCTGTTGTAAAGATTGTACATAAAATGAACAAAACATTAAGAAAAAAAATAACTACAAAACTTGTAGAAGACATCTGAAGGAATCCCTGTATCAGGAAGTTTTCGATGTTTTATATTTTATTATGTTTTCATACATGCTGGAAGCCGCCCAGAATGGCTGGATATCAATATTATTATTATTACTATAACTACTACTACTAGAAATGTAGATTGTTAAGGGTGCTCAGAGTGCTTAGGAACATAGGAAGCTGCCTTTTACCAGGGTTTCAGGAGAGTTCTAGCCCTACGCAGAGATGCTGGGGATTGAACCTGAGACTTTCAGCAAACAAAGCAGATTCTTTACCACTGAGCTATAGCCCTTTTCCTGGTTCAGCAATCAATCCGTTGTCTCAGGAAACTCTGGGAATTCAAATTCTCTGGGATAGGGAAAACATTCTGCATCTTTAACAAACTACAGTTCCCAGGATTCTTCTCTCCCCAACCCTCCAGTAATGATTGTTTTAAAGTGATATAATAGTGCTTTAAATCTATAGTGCAGATGGGGTCTTTGTGACTTCACACCCTCCAGATGGTTTTGGACTTCCAGTTCCCCTCATCTCTGGCTATTGGCTATGCTGCCTGGGCCAGATGTGCCTGAGCTCTTTCACAGAGGCAGAGCTGCTATTCTGATTGATTTAACAGCCAATCCCTCTACTTCCCAGACAGCTCTGGAAATTGTAGCTGCAGGAGGCAGCTCCTGACAGTTCCTGGCACCTTAACATACTACAGCTCCCATAATTATTTAGGGGAAGCCATTACAGCTTAAAGTGGTATCATGTTTGTTTGTTTAAGAAAATGGTGTGAATGTGGCCATAGCACATTATTAGCCGGTAGTAAGAAGTAGCAGGTTGTGGGGCTGAAGGAAATAGGTTTGCTACTGAATGGCTCCTGTTTGAGATAATTCAAACAGGGCCCATTGCCATGACTACTGGGCAATTTAACTTGGAATGTGTTGGGTGCTTAAATTCAGTGCTAATCCTGTTTGGAGTAGACCCATTGAAATTAGTAAAGGTAAAGGTACCCCTGCCCGTACGGGCCAGTCGTGTCCAACTCTAGGGTTGTGCGCTCATCTTGCTTAAGAGGCCGGGAGCTGGCGCCGTCCGAAGACACTTCCGGGTCACGTGGCCAGCGTGACGAAGCTGCAGCTGGCGAGCCAGCACCAGCGCTGCACACGGAAACGCCGTTTACCTTCTCGCTATAAAGCGGTACCTATTTATCTACTTGCACTTAGGGGTGCTTTCGAACTGCTAGGTTGGCAGGAGCTGGGACCGAACGACGGGAGCTCACCCCGCCGCGGGGATTCGAACCGCCGACCATACGATTGGCAAGTCCTAGGCACTGAGGTTTTACCCACAGCGCCACCCGCGTCCCACATTGAAATTAGTGAACATGATTAATTTAAGCCTGTTAATTTGAATGCGTCTACTCTAAGTAAAGGGGACATGGGTGGCACTGTGGGTTAAAC